CTATAATATGGCCTGAATTGCCACCAGATCCTTATCCCTCATGTAGTGACAAGGCTTCATCCTGATTTGCAGTAGCAGCCTCAAGTAATTCCACCACTCAATGTTTCACATCTTACTAATTTCTCAATTGTGTTTGCTCTATTAAAAGTACTTAATATATTATTGTCTTTTTACAAAAAAAATACATGGGAGAACATGACTTCAACCAGGAAGCACTTCCTAAATGAGCATTTACTTTGGCTGTGGTTCATCGACTTCCATTCACTTGATTCTGTGGTATGTGAAAATTAATTAAACAAACTAATTAAAAGAGATTATCAATGTTACTGTGATGGTTTTAATGATCAAATATACATTTAAATTGTTTCTTTTTAATCAAAGGTTGTTTTCCAAAAAAAAAAAAAGAAAAGAAAAGAAAAATAAGTAGTATCAGTATAATACAATATTAAATGCAGGTGGTGATGTTTAATTGGACATCAAAGTGTTGATAAATATTATTTGCTTAAGTCAGTTTTGATACCTATTAATTAATATATTTTTTGTTATGTTGTGTCTAAGGATTCCTAAGTAGATAAAGCATACTATACTGTTAATATAATAATTTTGTTATATTCTTTTCATGAAGACATTAAAATAAAAATTAAGTCTGAATTACTTAGTCTAAGCACAGTCACTGAAGGGCACATCCCCCACCCCAAAAAACTGAATTGATTCAATTTGTGTAGTAATTGTTCTTGGTAGACAGTAGTAAATAGTTAATATATAATTGTGGATGGCTATTCTTGATTTGTCTTCATGGTCAGTTGTTTATGCTGGGTCGATTCATTGCCAACATTATTGTCTCAATATGCTTATTACAATATATAACATCATCGTATTTGATTCACAACACTATGTGGTTATTTTGCTGTCGATAGTACTCCAGTTTGAGGAAAAGGCAGGGCTTCCTGTCTGTGTGTGTGGTGTGATAGAGAGATGCTTAGTGCTTCTCAATAAGGTAAAACATACCATACCATTTTTAACGTTATATGTAACCACACATGTACCTTTAAACAGATTCGGTGCAATTTTGACTACTACTACTTGCACCACCATCCCTGAGATCCCCTTTGTTTTATATGTAGGCTATTCATCAGCTTCGACGCAAACTTAACAGGCCTTACTGAGGACTCGTATTTGTTGTTTTCCACAGAGTTGCACATCCTTAAATTTCTTTTAAACTGTTTACGCTTAATAACACAACCATACTCTATGTTCTTACAACATGTATCACAAAAATTTATCATTTGAAGAACTTCTGGCCAACGCCATACCTGCAAGTGGAGTGTGTTGTTTACTATTTACATTGGACAAACGACATAGAAGGTAGTTTGTGATTGGCTGAGGGCCTTGCAACTAAGCCAAACTTCATTGTTAGTCGTCTTATGATTGGCTATAGTTATGTAGCAACTTTTGATATAAATTCTCATTTTTGGTTACAGTTTCCCCAAATTCACGATTGCCAACAATCAAATTATGTTACAATTTAATAGTATTGACATTTTTGTGCAAAAGCCAGGTAGCCCGGATTGGTGGGTCACAGAATTGAACGTTTTCGATCCTCAACCCACGGTCTATTCTGTTTACAGGGGATTTTAGATATGAATTGGCTAATCCTTACATCATAACACGTTTTTTGCTTGTTTGAAACACACAGTGAAAAATAAGACCACAGAAAGTACCCAGTGGTCCATTTTTGGTGCTTTTTATTTGAGTTATGGCCTGTATTATCTTGATCATTTTCGAACCATCCCCGTTCACATTACCCAGGGGTTGCATTTTTTACTTTACTTTATTGAAAATGTATTCATCTAACTTTTTTCAATATTTAATATTTTTTATTACTTCGTTTTCTATTAAGAACCAGGGATATACTGTTTGCATGTCACATGTTTGTGTTAAATGTGGTATTGGTTGATATGGAGATTATATTTTTTACAAAATTGATTGATTGATACCAAGTGAACAAAAAATCATATTGCAGAAATTGTAAAGATTTGTGTTCATTATTGAGTAATCCTGTTCATTCTTCCGTAGGGATATATAGAGGGTGGACAGGAGATGTTGCACCTGTGGAGAGGAACAGTAAAAGCTCTACCTCATCTGAAATACATCCAAAGAATCAATCCAATACAGTTACACAAACTTGATAGATCACATGTAAGTAGAAATTTTGGTATGTCATGGTCAGTAGGTAGACTTTTTATTATTTTTCTCATTCTGGACAGCGCCACCAATGAGAAAGTTAATTTAGAGACGGAATATTAAGCAACTTGTAAAACACTGAATGCAGGCACCAGGATGCCAAAAGAATGACATAATCTTATATTCCATAAAATTTGGATAAATGGGCGGACCGAAATAAACAATTTCAACCAATCTAATGTTCATATTTTTGGAACCTTGAAACTGAGTCACTCGCGTCGACTAGTTAGGCATGACTGAAAATAGTCCTCCTTACGGGCCTAAAATATTTAGAATAGACCCGGCCTAGTAAGACTAATTTTGCCAATGGCAAAAACAATTAAGCTTAGACTAGATGGCATATACCATTACAAATACAACAACACTTTAACTTTCCAGGAGAATGGCTCTGGAGTAGTAGGCCTAGCCTTGTAGTTTGGCCTTGGCCTGTTTTTAAGTTCTTACTTCTTACAGAGGCCTACCTTTTTAACAATATTCTAAAGGCCTAAATCTGTGTAGCAGCTAGCGATGAGCACGGTTCTAAGTATCCTACTACGGTTATCAGTCCATAGTCGTTCTCAGCAGGCCAGAACTATATACTAACTGTGTTATTTAAAGTAGGTAGAAGGGAGCTGGTTAGCTTGTCCTAGTCAAGACATCTGCATCTTCAATTTTGAAAATTTACCAAGATTAATTAATATTCATGTAGTAAGCCAATCATGTGATTTACAAAATCAGTCACGCATACCCCAATCGAATTTGATGTGGGAAATCATACGCATGAATCGTTTGCCCAGGCCCTAGTCCGAAGAAAAAAGAAATCGAGTATGGGACGCCAATTAAATTAGGTAAGGCACGCACTAAGTGCAATAAAGAGTAAGTAGCCCAAAATTAGGGCCTGGAACCCAGGCTAGGTCAGTAGCTAATGTTATCATTCTCAGTAGGTAATGTTATATCATGCTCAGTAGATAATGTCATATCATGCTCAGTAGATACTGTTATATCATGCTCAGTGGGTAATGGTATATCATATATCATGCTCAGTAGATAATGTTATATCATGCTCAGTAAATAATGTTATATCATGCTCAGTAGACAATAATAGTGTAGTTTTATATAGCGCACATATCCATCTAATGTAAGATGCTCAGGGCGCTTGATATGTGGACTAGGAACTAGATCAATGACTTTCTTCGCCCCTAAGGGTCCCTTCGTGTCTGTGCTACCCGGTAACCCGGTACCAGCAACTCTCATCGTCCACCACAGGGGCTGTCTGTTCCAGTACACCGGGGTATCCCCCTA